GTTTTCTCTCCATCCTTACCTTCATGTTTTCTCTCACTCCTTACCTTCATGTTTTCTCTCCATCCTTTTCTTCATGTTTTCTTTCCATCCTTACCTTCATGTATTCTTTTTCCTAAGATTTTTATATTAGGTAAACAAACAGTTATTTGTTTATGAAATATTATATGAAAGATATTTAAAACTCTATCAATTTCCTTTTTATCTGGTGATAAAAATTATGATTGAAAAAAATATCTCAAACCGTAAACAAACAATATAGAGCAAGAATAAACTTTGGTGGAAATAATAGATATAAAGATAGATTGAGCGATAAATAGATAGCTGAAGATATAGATAGATAGATAGAGAGATAAATGGATGGATGGATATATAAAGATAGATAGATAGATAGATAGATAGATAGATAGATAGATAGATAGATAGTGATACTGGGGAGAGGGAAGGATAGGCTAGTATTGTGCTACACTGCTACAGGGGAGAGGGAAGGATAGGCTAGTATGTGCTACACTGCTATAGGGGAGAGGGAAGGATAGGCTAGTATTGTGCTACACTGCTACTGGGGAGAGGGAAGGATAGACTAGTATTGTGCTACACTGCTACAGGGGAGAGGGAAGGATAGGCTAGTATTGTGCTACACTGCTACAGGGGAGAGGGAAGGATAGGGTAGTATTGTGCTACACTGCTACAGGGGAGATAGAAGGATAGGCTAGTATTGTGCTACACTGCTACAGGGGAGAGGGAAGGATATGCTAGTATTGTGCTACACTGCTACAGGGGAGATAGAAGGATAGGCTACAGGGGAGATAGAAGGATAGGCTAGTATGTGCTACACTGCTACAGGGGAGAGGGAAGGATAGGCTAGTATTGTGCTACACTGCTACTGGGGAGATAGAAGGATAGGCTAGTATTGAGCTACACTGCTACTGGGGAGATAGAAGGATAGGCTAGTATTGTGCTACACTGCTATAGGGGAGAGGGAAGGATAGGCTAGTATTGTGCTACACTGCTACTGGGGAGATAGTCGGATATGCTAGTATTGAGCTACACTGCTACTGGGAGATAGAAGGATAGGCTAGTATTGAGCTACACTGCTACTGGGGAGAGGGAAGGATATGCTAGTATTGTGCTACACTGCTACAGGGGAGAGGGAAGGATATGCTAGTATTGTGCTACACTGCTACAGAGGAGATAGAAGGATAGGCTAGTATTGTGCTACACTGCTACAGGGGAGAGGGAAGGATATGCTAGTAATGTGCTACACTGCTACAGGGGCGAGACGGAAGGAAAGAAAAGGGTAGAAGCTGATTGTTCTCTTCAATAAAGAGCTCTGGTATTAGACCATGAAAGGATCAATTCATTTGTGATCTTATCTATCAATTAATCTTCACATAACATTTATAACATTTATTATAGCAGAGTTCAGAGAGAGGGGGGGAGGTTTATCTGGAAGCAATTTGATGTCTGTCATTGTTCGATTATCTTACATAAAAATTTAAATAAACAGAATATAAACTATATTTAGTATAAAAAAATCCTCCCTCAATATAGTTTTGGTTTGTCTATAGAGTATGACGGAGAGAAACATATAAACCGAGAGGAATAAAAGATTAACAACCTTTTCAAAAAGTCAAAATAGACTCTAAACCAGCTTCAGCCGAAACTAAACAAACGCTAGGATTTTATTTAATTTTTGTATAAACTCCAGGGTGTGTTTAGGAGCAGTTTCATCTTTATTTCATACAAACAAATTTAACGAGGTTTACCAAAATATTTTCTATCTAAGATGGATTCATCCCTTTAGGAGTTTATTTTATTTGTCTAATATATACATTTACTCATAGAAGGAAGTTAAGACCTCCTTCGGAAAGAACTTTAAGAATGTGAAAGGACGGAGGGAGTACTAGATACACTCACTGCTCCCCCAGGACCTAGGGGGAGAATAAAGCGTCTATACTTTAAGGTATTTTAATGTAAGTATGTATGAGGGTATTTAAATTATTGTAGTCTAGCTTTACGGTCCAAGAGAGACAGAAACAAATACTTTTAGATGGAAAAAACATTATCTTAAGCGAGTATTTTACGAAGATTTTATTTCAGAGATATATGATTTAATCATATTATAAAAAGTTATCTCAAATGTTCTCTACACCCCTTATCCTTTTCTACACCCCTCTCCTTCTTTATATCCCTTAAGTTCTCTATCCCCTTTCATCCTCTAAACCCCCTACCTTCTCTATCCCCTTTCATCCTCTAAACCCCCTACCTTCTCTATACCCTTTCCACCTCTACACTCCTTCTCTATACCCTTTCACCCTCTACACCCCTTCTCTATACCCTTTCCACCTCTACACCAATTCTCTATCCCTCTCCTCCTTTAAACCCCTAGCTAACCTTCTCTATTCCTTTCCTTTTCCTATACTCTAGTATAAACCCTCCTCTCTTCTACCCTACCCTAGTCTGAATCCTCCCCTCTGCTACCCTACCCTAGTATAAAGTCTCCCCCCTTTTCTACCCTACTATAGTCTAAACCCTCCCCTGTGCTACCCTACCCTAGTCTGAATCCTCCCCTCTGCTACACTACCCTATTATAAACCCTCCCCTGTGCTACCCTACTCTAGTCTAAACCCTCCCCTCGGCTACCATTCCCCAGTATAAACCCTCCCCTATTCTACCATAACCTAGTTTAAACCCATCCCTCTTTACCTTACTCCCTCTTCAGTACTCCCCTAAACTCCTTCCTCTCCCTCCTCACCCCTCTTCAACCCACTGCTATCCCATGACCCTTCTCCTCTTCTCTACTCTCCTCTACCCACCTCTACCCTACTATATACCCCTCCCACTTCACACTACAATATTCTAATTAAAGGTCTCCTGTTCTCCTATTTACTATGAAATCTTTAATGTTAACGCACCGAAGGTTTTGAATAGAAATGAAGAACTGAGTTGAGTCGGGTCGTTTGTCTTAGATTCGTGTCCCAAATTGCTGTTGGAGTGAGACTTGACAGTTTCCTAGGTTCAGGAGAAGCAAGAGTAATGTTTCTAGCCTCAGTCTGCCACTCTTAGACACTTCTAATTTTCACACAAAAAAAAATTTTGTCTTAATTTTGAACAATTTAGAAAAACTGAATTTAAGTTTATAGATATTTTAAACTGTCCAGCAAGCATTTCAGTGAGAAACTTAACAAACTGCGTAAAATTTAACAATTCGAAATTGGAATTGTTAAAAGAATTTTCAAATGTGCACCTGCGATTATTTCTAGAACAACGTCTTTCTATCAATTCGGATTTTTAAACAATGTAACTATACAAAGTACACAATGCTTACAAGGCTGAACCATTTAGCTTTTTGGCATGTACTCGTTATAGCATGTATAGACGTTACAGAAGCTGGTAGCTGATATATTTAAGTTTATATCTATATTAAAGGAACTGTAGAAGCTGGTAGCTGATATATTTAAGTTTATATCTAGATTAATAGAACTGTAGAAGCTGGTAGCTGATATATTTAAGTTTATATCTATTAAAGGAACTGTATAACCTGGTAGCTGATATATTTAAGTTTATATCTATTAAAGGAACTGTAGAAGCTGGTAGCTGATATATTTAATTTTATATCTATTAAAGGAACTGTAGAAGCAGGTAGCTGATATATTTAAGTTTATATCTACATTAAAAGAACTGTAGAACCTGGTAGCTGATATATTTAATTTTATATCTATTAAAGGAACTGTAGAAGCTGGTAGCTGATATATTTAAGTTTATATCTACATTAAAAGAACTGTAGAACCTGGTAGCTGATATATTTGAGTTTATATCTATTAAAGGAACTGTAGGAGCTGTTAGCTGATATATTTAAGTTTATATCTATATTAAAGAAACTGTAGAAGCTGGTAGCTGATATATTTAAGCTTATATCTAGATTAATAGAACTGTAGAAGCTGGTAGCTGATGATATATTTAAGTTTATATCTATACTAAAGGAACTGCAGAAGCTGGTAGCTGATATATTTAAGTTTATATCTATATTAAAGGAACTGTAGAAGCTGGTAGCTGATATATTTAAGTTTATATCTAGATTAATAGAACTGTAGAAGCTTGTAGCTGATATATTTAAGTTTATATCTATTAAAGGAACTGTAGAAGCTGGTAGCTGATATATTTAATTTTATATCTAT